TCTTCCATGTTTTGCTGCTTGACATTAGTTTCTTTACTTACAGCTTATTGTGTAACTGTAAAAACAGGTTCAAAATCTGCTACAATCTGGAGCACTTTGATTGGGGCTCAGACGGCTGATCACTGTCAGCTGGGGCAGCCCAACACGTGGAGCTTTCATTGCTCAGAGTGCAACCTCCATCTCATGATCTACACTTGCTGAACAATGTCGCTAAAACTATTTTCTCCTCACTCTCCCAGGTTGCCCCTCTACCTGGCTTCTCTTTTCATAAGTGTCCTCTTCCTCTTGGTGAATTTAACATGTGCAGTATTGGTGAGGACACAGAATTCAGAGAGAAAAGTCATTGTCTCTGTCCGGGTGGCAATTAATGACACGTTGTTTGTGCTGTGCGCTGTTTCACTCTCCATCTGCCTGTATAAGATTTCCAAGATGTCTTTAGCCAACATTTACTTGGAGTCCAAGGTAAGGTACATTTTCAGTTCTTTTCAAGTACCTTCTGACAGACAAGGGCAATACGAGGCAAAGCCACACAGTTCTTTACGTCCCCAGAGAGCTGGAGGCCTTAAACTTCACAGCTTGTGCTTGGCAGGCCATCCTGCTCAATATACAAATTAAATACTAAGTGCTAGCAAGGGTGCTTTTGGCTAACACCAGTGACCTCAAAATATGTATTTTTCGGGCAGAGTTTACACAACTTACCGGCTGGAGTTTCTCACAGCTTTTCAAGTGGATACTGCTTTCTCCAGATCCCTGTCTGAAGACCACTTGCATTTCAGTGCTGCTACATAGAAGTGGGCTATACTTTGGGATCTTTCAGCTTGTCAAATTATTGACTGATTAAGTTAAATGTTTAAGGTAGCAGCACACTGAAGATAAGCCAGGTAAGAGTAATATGTATCTCCCTTTACACATTTGCATACTGAGAATGTGTTTTAAAAGACTTGATGCATTATAAATTCAGCCAAGTGGGGAGAAGGGGAAATAAGTGTCTCATGTTACTCTACAAAATGTTATTTAAAGAAATATTGTTAGGTTTACAGCTTTGGACACATTCAGTGATCAAGGCTCTGGGTGGCATCACATAAGCCTGCAGTGTTTATTATAAAATCAGTGAAGGTGGTTTGTATTTACAAATAATGAAACAGCGCTTTCAAAGGTCCTTGCATTTGCAGTAGATAGTTAATTCTTAAAATAAATTATTAGTTTAACCAATAGTGCATTACCTTTACCACAACAAATCTTTCCAAAATGTAAGTTTCAGCTACCATTTAGAAAACCTTGTAATAAAATTCCTCTCTCCATTTACTTAATCAGATGAAAGGAGTGCTTTTCCTGTTTAATCAAATCTGGCCATACCGCCCAGCAACTGAATGTTCAGGGCTCAATAGAAGATTTAAAAACACAGCTTAGTTTGGTTTGGTTTTTTCAAGCTCATCACTTGCTGACCAAAGGGCATGGGCTATGGATTATTTTTACTACTAAGAAAAGTTTTTCTACTGCTGCAAATCACAGAAGGGTAAATCTCTGTAACAAAGCAGTGTTAACCCAAGGGAGGCTTTGGTAGATTACTTGTTCCGTTTCCTCCTCCTGCAGGAAACTTGATCTTTTTTACTTCAAGCTATTTCACAAAACCCAAACAAACTCTAACATTATTGCAGACAGGAAAGGACAGAATGCTCAGCTGATGAAAGTTTGAATGTGGAAATGAGAATTAAAGTGCTTTGCTCCTTTCTGCTGACCTGAAATGGGAGTTCCTCTCGGGACTTCCAGCAGGATTTGACTGCACATACTCAGGGATACAGATGGCTGGAGCTGGTAGTGAAAAAACATCCTGGTTTTATCTGCTACTGTTGTGCTGAAAAAACTAGCTAAAGAAGAAAAATCCGTTCTCTGCTGTGATACGATAGAAGTAGCATTGGAGATAACGCGTGCTCTGCAGTGCATGGAGATAGGCATCGGTACTGGCAGCCTTTTATTTGACCTCCAGTCTGCTGGTACCTATCTCCTGGCCACATGTGACAACGCGTTCACCTCCATGAGCCGGCACAAGGGACCAGCTCATTCTCTGGGCCAAGGATACAACAGCCCAAGGAGGTGTACAGCCCTGCCCTTAGGTGCCCGCTCAGGCCAGTTCAGTGCTGGCCAGAAGTGTCATGTAGTGGGACATGCTGCAAACTCGAGGCTCACCCTCTTTTCTGTAGGGGCCTGTGACTGAAAAAGGATTCCTCTGGCTTTGCTTATACTGCTGCACCCTCCCTTCGCCAAGCCACAAAGTATATTTGACTGGCAGCAAAACCAGGACACTTTTTACCCCCCTTTTTTTGTATTTGGTGGGACTGAAGTTTCTTAAATCTCTATCCTATTTAACTATTAACTATTAAAGAATGACAGCTATGTAGGGAAGCCTATATAGGGAAATAACCGACCCCATTCTGCTCTTCACTTCCACTATCTCCAGTCTGTAAATGCCACTGAGCTGGGACATGGTATGTGCCAGTCAGCAGCTTCTCTCCACGGTCTCACCCTTGGTTTCTGTGACAGCATCACTGACTTGCAAGAACGGAGAAGCGCCGAGCAAACGTTTCCTCTTTGTGGCATTTCCTGCTTGCTGCTCTTGCCACAGCTTTCACCACTGCCCGCGCTGTATCTGGCTTCAGTTCCCATATAGCAGCAGGCTCTTGGCTCACTCCCAGCACGGCTGCAGGTTATGACCCGGTGGGAAGCAGTAAGTAGTTCCAGCGCAGTTTAAGCAGGAAGCCAGTCAGAGAGGTTGACTGCACTGGGGATTTGGTGATACTCCTGAGCCCAGCTGTTCTCTGAAGCAATATTATAGCGCTGGGAAAACAGGCAAGCTAGTTTTCTGCAAGCTTCTCTGTCTGCTCTCAGAGCTCCTCTTTACTGACAACCATCAGGGAGCACCCAGCCCGAGGCGCTTGGCTGGCAGAGCCGCAGGGACGATAGCCACCAGTGTGGGTGAGAGGCAGAGGGGGCCCGGTTGTCTCCTGAAGGCCAGGGATTCAGGACATGGTGACTTCCCTGATACTTCAGTAGCCATTCTGTTACGCCTGTGCTATACCTGCCGCAGTGCTTTGGACCTCTGCTCCTTGGCTGCAGACCTGGAAGCAGAGTGTGTGAGTGCAGGGAGCAGGGCACAGACCTTCCTGCCTCCTGCATGGGTCCAAAAGGTCCTGTGAAGGGAGGAAGAACTTCCCCCTCTGCCTCTCTCTCTCACACAGGTGGGAGGAGCCGGGTGTGGGTCTCTGCCAGGACAGGGAGAGGGCAGTGCTCATGAAGCAAATGACTGCAAGGTATTTTGCTCCCCTAAAAGCACACAGCACTTTAACCCATCTTTCTTCCTTTGCCTATGCAAAGCCCTATTCCAGAGCCCACTGCCCAGAATTTACTTTGAGCTTCTTCCTCCAAAGCCAGTCCCATTTTTGTACATCTGCCTGCCTCCAAGATCTGACTCACACTAATCCTTGTAGCCATGGCTCCTGGATTCCTTCCTTGCTGCTACAACAGCTCTTTGTGCTGGAGTCTCAGTCCCCCCAGTGTCCCTCCCCACCTGACACAGCGGTCAGGTGTCCCATTTGTTCCTCACACTGGGTTAAGCTCTTTCCCCTTTTTCTGTCCGTTTTTCTCTCTAGGGCTTAGGAACTCCTCTGATTTCACACTCTGCAGTCTCCTTCCTCCCCTTGTGCCCAAGCTCCTGCTCGCAGACTGCCCTGCCATGGTGACTCTGTCTGTATGCTGTGCTTCCACTTTGGGTCTCCTGTGTGTTGACTTTAGGCAAGGCAGGATATTCTGTTCCTGTCTCTGCTGTGTTTAACTGCTGGCTGTTATGATCTGCTCCATACTTAGCAAATAGGTGCACAGCAAGCAGTTGTAAAAAGATGCAAGGTTGCATCATGCGAACTAGCCAGCATTTGATACAGGATGCTCTCTAGCTAATGCACAGCTGAAGGCCAAATTCTCTTGCTCCATCTGATACCAACTGTAGTTCTCACGGGTTTTCATTGCTCTGAAAAGAGCGCTTGTACAGTAAGTTGAGGGAATCAGTTACAGCCCATCTTGGTAAGGGCTGGAACTGCTACCATTGCCTGGAAACCACTGTACTGATAAAATACAGGAATATACATAGTATAGGATACACTGATCAAAGAAGGAAAGGGAAAAAGTTGGTCGCATTAGCAGAGTAGCATGACAATCCTCAAAGTCCATGCAAAGCAACGTTCTTGTCAACTGCCCTTATGCATAATAACCTGTGTTTAAATCTCTTCCAGGGCTCATCTGTCTGTCAAGTGACAAGTATAGGAGTGACTGTTATACTACTTTATACCTCACGAGCCTGTTACAACTTGTTCATCTTATCATTTTCCCAAACCAAGAAAGTCAATTCTTTTGATTATGATTGGTACAACGTATCAGATCAGGCAAGTATGAAAATATTTGCTAATGAGAAAAAACTCATTCTGTAATGTGATACCTGATTTCCTAAATGCTATAACAAGAGGAATTAATATATGAAAATCCTATTATTTTTTTATTATTATTCAATGCGTAAGATTGTTTTGCTCTAGGTATACAAATTTCTGGTAATTTCAGCATAAGGATGAAAAAAAACTCCAATGCTAAAAGAAAGAAGTACCACTAGCCAAATAATTTTTTAAAAAAATAATCTTTTTTTACCTTGATTTTATTGTTAAAAAAATCCTTTTATTAAAAAAGATAGGTGTTTTGTACACTAGAAAGAATGTTCTGTACTTGGAGAAGCAGAAAAATGGTATTTGATTCCATTGAAATGCTTAGCTCTGAAGTCATGATCAAATCTTCCATTGCCATCCAGGGCTCTGGAGTTATTTACCTGAATTCTGTCATTAGCATGATACCTTCTGTAGTTTAAAGATAGGACTATGATTCTTCCCAACTTTTAATTGCAAGTGACAATTCAGACTGAAAACTAACAGTGATAAAAACACTAAAGGAAATAGCAGGGGATTCTTCATTGAATATTATGAAATTTGGGCATCCGGCTCCTTTCTCTGCTTTGAAGCATGTCGTTAGGTCCCAGTAGTTTTCCAGTTCTGTCAAGGCTGGGCAAAACGGCAGACTTGGGTCTGGACCATGAGTACATGTTGTTTGGCCTCAAAATCCCGGACACTTGATGTCTCCCCACCCTCTCAGCAAGCGCCTGCAGACCAAAAGCAGTGTTTCCAGCCACTCAAGGGCCTTGTATTGCCAGGGTGGCCAAGCAAACCTGGCACCATTAACAATTTTCTCTTGAGCAGTAGGTAAAACTGTAAATAAGAAGTAGGTAAACAGTAGGGTATGATTGCCCAGAGAACCTCATTATGAGTTAGTTGAGTAGGGTCTGTCAAGGGACCACTAACAAACCCTGCTGTGGAGCGGAGAAGAGGAGCGCAGCCAAGGTGGTGCCACTCTGCAATTAGAAGACACAGGTTTTAGGCAGAAGGGCACTAGGCTGTGATTCATCTTCTGAATCAAACATTTTCCCTCCTGTTGTCGGGGCCTGGAGTGTTGCTGCTGCTGCTGACCCCTTGCAGGGGGCACTTCTTGTGCTGACTCCTACAGTCTGGAGTAACAGGGGCCAGAATACTTTACGGCCAGAATAGTTGGTCCTGTTTCCTCTGTGGAGGCAGAGGTTGTTCATAGGGAACTCAGTGGAATGTTTTAGGCCTTAGACCACCACTGCTGATTTTTGAACATCTGATCTGACTTGTGATATTAGGCTTGCCTGGATTTTTGGGGTAAATGATTTGAACTGTATGTAAAGGACCTGGAACTAAATAGGAGTTACTCAGTTTAGCACCAGAATCAAAAGTCACTTTTAAAAGTATAGCCCAATGCTTGTACTGTGGTTCTGCCTCAGGTCACCTGTAAGAAACATTACCCTTTTCTCTTCTGTACAAAACACATGAAAGGACAGGGTTTGCCCTTTGCAACTACGGTGCATAGTGGAGGGGAAATCTAAAGAGGAGTTCAAAGCTGATGCTAGAGTAACAGCATGGTTATTCAAGCTAACAATGTGCATCAATCTGAAGGGGTCCAAGCCTTAATTTTTAAAAGCCAGATTGCCAGCAATGCCCTTGAAGATCTGGGCATTGATTAGCTTTTCACATGTTATTCCCAGATGGAAAAGGACTGGAAAACTAGTTTCTCATTACCTCTATTTGTTCACTTGATCAAATTGTTGCTTGCTAGGCTCTTAGACTGGGAAGACCCCTGCATAAAACTTTGATTTTGCTGAAGGAAAGATAGGAGGAGGAGAAGGAGGAGGAAGAAAGGTAAAAGGGAAGTCATGTACCCAACATGATAGAATATTGATTTATTATTTTTTTTTTAGTATGCCTTTAATCATTAGCTGCATTAATCTGGCTTTACTGGATGGAATTTCTGGCCATGTTGTCAAGCATTTCAGCCACTCTAAATATAGGTCTACAAAAGAGGACATGTTGCCTCCCATGCCTTTTAAATGAGCTGCCATCTTTATTTTTAAACACTTTTCTCTTTGACTTTTCAACAGGCAGATCTGAAATGTCAGTTGGGAGACGCAGGTTACATAGTGTTCGGCGTGATCCTTTTCGTATGGGAGCTCTTGCCCACTTCCTTGGTTGTGTATTTCTTCCGTGTCCGAAACCCTACAAAAGACCTAGTAAGTGGAACTTGTTAGTGTATTTGTTAGTATAATGTCTGTGCAGGTCTGGAGGGCTCAGCTTCTGAGGAAGGTTTGCTTCTTTACATTTTGACTTCTCTTTTTCAATGTGTCCTTAGCAGATTAAAAACAATGCAAACTTCCCACGTCTTTAGACTAAGTTCTTGTGAGAGAAACTCATCGTATTTACCCAGAAGGAAGACAAGGTGTTTCTCAGGCAGTTTACCTTAAAAATTAGGAACCTTCTTAAATTTAGGGACCTCTTCCCTTTGGGTTAATAGGGTACTTCACTGGAGTCAGTGCAAAAGGAGTTTGTTATCCAAAATTGGGTTCTTTCATCACATAGAAGTGAAAATGGTTGTGTGTTCAACGGCATGCATGAAATAACAGATTGAATTCATAGAATCATAGATTCATTTCATTGGAAAAGACCTTTAAGATCATCAAGCCCAACTGTACCATGTCCCTAAGCACCTCGTCTACCATCTTTTAAATACCACCAGGGGAGGGGACTCAAGCACTTCCCTGGGCAGCCCATTCCAGTGCCTGATAAACCTTTCAGTGAAGAAATTTTTTCTAATATCCAATCTAAACCTCCCGTGGTGCAGCTTGAGGCCATTTCCTCTGGTCCTAAATTCTTTCAGCCCTGTAGCCATTGAACTGTTTCCATGTCAAAGACCAATAGCCATAATAATCACTTGCTGACATTTTTGTTTGCCATTTCAGCAGAGCAGAGATTAAGTTATGTGTTGTAAGGATAATTCCCTGTAAGCGTCCTTAATGTCTAGGTAGTTAATAGATGGACAAGCATCTTTTTATAGCTGTAGGCGATATCTCCAGGTTAGCATAGGGTGTGCTGGTTGACAGGCACATGGGGAATATCAGCCCTGCGCTAGGATTACCGAGGTAACATCTCTGTTTCTGCAGGTCAAACCAAACCAAAGCTAATATTCCCCAGGAAGGATGTGAATGGTAAATTCACAAGCAAAAGAAATAATTAATAGAATAACTTTTTGGAGAAGGTGATGGGTTTTATTCTCACGTGCAGATTCCAGAGACAATGATAAAGCCAAGCTGCACAAGGAAGTTACAAATCCCCACCTGGATAAAGCCCTTCTTACTGTTCACCTGTAATACCTGACATCACGCTAAGAAACCCCGTGGACCACAGTGTCCATCACAAAAAAAAAAAAAATCTCAGCCCCACTGCTGCTTAGGAGTTAGCCAGGACAACTGCAAAGAGAAGAAATGTTTTAAAGTACAGGCCAGTGGTGCTGCTGTTCTAAAAAGTGACCACAGAAAGAGCTCATTTTATTTAAAGTGAGTTTAGTAAGGCTAGACCTGGTGGTCAAGTTTGGGTAGTGTGGGAGGGAGTCACAAGAGAATGAAAATAAGGGATGTGGTCTAATCTCTCCTTCCAAAAAGCTGAACACATAAAGACTTGGAATCCTTCTCAAATGAGACCTCGAATGGAGCCAAACCAGCAGCATTCTCATTCAAAGATCACTGCAGTAATAACATTATAATAAAGTAACATTATATTTTTGCACTGTGATTTGCAGAAAGCCTTAAATCTCCAACGTCATAAAGATACAGTTCAGAAGAGCCCATCAGTGATACCACTTCTCTTATGGGTACCTCTTTTAAGACAGACATTATCTGTCATAGTGGGTGTGTCATATATGGATTTTTTCTACACAAGACAAATATTTATGCTAAACAATAGTATGGTAAGAGTAAAACTGGGAACATCAACGCTAGAAAGAAACAAAAAATGAAGAGTAGCAAAGGAAAACTGAACTTGATTGCAAGTATGCCACAAGAGGGAGACCAAGAGCCACAGGACTTCAGTGTAATGTGTACAGTAGGCTAAGTGTTAGAGCAGTTAGGTATCAAGTGGCCCAGTGGCTGAAAATACTTGGCCAGAAACCATGTGGTTAGAATTAAAAAAAAACTTCTTTTAGTTAAAAAATCTTAACATCAACTCTGATTTAGTAAAAATCCAAAATGTTCTTTATTTTTTAATAAGGAGCAATGCCAAGAAATTGTTGTTCTTTGGTTTTACACTTCATTTGGGACTTAAGAAAAAAAAAAAAGTTTGAGTAGAGGCAGCCTGCCTTCAGCACTGTTCAAATGTAAAGCTCTGTTCCACAGACAATTATGGCCTGGAACATCTCTCTGTGTGCTTTGGTGCTGACACAGAGTGACTGCAGTGCATGGTCCTTTGCCTTGCCATACCTTCAGCCAGACAGACATTTGAAATGGGGAGATAACAGCAGTGGACCTATTTTTAGTTCATCTTTGTCTAAGTTATTTAACATCGAAAAGATAGGGGGAGATTAAACTACTCTCCTGCTTAAGGCCAAGGAGCAGATGTCATCCTGGCTTATCCACAGGTGCAGGGGACATTGTTCCTTGGGCATGGAAGCAGTGGATCCATGGATGAGGCTCTGCTGGGTCCTAGATGTCCCTCTGCACTGTCTCCAGAATCAAACTGACCCTTTGAATTTTGTATGTTTTCTGTTTTGGTTCATAGGGAAATAAAATCAAAATGCTTTGTAAATGGAGGAGCTGCACTGTTTATCAAAGGACCTTTCCTTGGGATTTGCCCCTCACAGCACTGTAGGGTAGATACTGAAATTGCTCAGCGAGGTCCTAAGGGGCTTTTCAGCTATGGTTTCATTAAGCAGGGTGCCAAGGTTCAGCACGATCAGTTCCTGAGGCAAGGAGGTAACGCACCAGGAGGGAGGGTTACAAATGTGGGCGGTAAAATTAGAGCGCTTTAGGTGTTTCATATCCTTCAGCTCCTCAGCTGCTTCCCCACTGCTCACTTCAAGGCAGCTGGCTAAACACGGAAAGTTTCCAGGATGGACAGGAATTCAGCAGACAGGTTAAATGCATACTGGAGGGTGGTTTCAGAAATGGGCCATTAAGATCAGTAGACAATCACCATGCTGGTGGCAAAAAGAGAAAACACAGAAAAGATTTCTACTGTCTACAGCAAATGTAAAATTGCCTGGTTTATTTTGGAAGCCAGAAGGTAAGTCTGCAGTGACTCCTTTTAGAAGTCAGGCGCCAAGCAATTTAGCTATCATCTGTTGCAAGTACTGACTGAGGTTTCCCTTCCTTCAGGCCAGCACAGGAATGGTCCCCAGCCATGGCTTCAGTCACAGATCTTATTTCTTTGACAACCCTCGCAGATACGACAGTGATGATGATCTAGCGTGGAATATTGCACCACAGGGGGCACAGGGCAGGTGAGATATACAGGAGGGAATCGCTTCCCATAACAGAAACAGGAGGAGAAAGAACTCTCACACACTGCCAAAGACTAATGGAAATTGTTTACCTCCAATTGTTGCATAAATTCCAGGGGGTGAGGGGAAGCCAAGGGGGGAAGCTGAAGTGGAAAGGCAGCACTGAGTGACTGTAGGGATCCAAGGGCCACAACAGAGACACTGCAAGGACACAAGCATCAAAACAGTTAGGTAATTTAAGAATTATAACAGCATGCTGCTCTTTGAAAAACTCAGGTCAGATCTTTGGGTTGCATATTTCTGTTTCTTCTGGGAGCGGCGTAAGAAGTGCCATTTACTTGTTTAAGTGTGCGAGCAAGGCACCCTAGAAAAACAGCCGTCTCCGTCTCTTCAGGGGGAGAGCAGGGGAAAGCTTGACAGCGCAGGCAGCAGCTTGCGACATGGTAGCGAGAAGCCTCTCAACTTCAGTTCCCTTCTAACATAGCTAAATAAATGCCTTGGGGTTTACCTGAAATGAAGGGGGGATTTGCTTTCCCCCTGGCTGAAAGCTTATGCGAATCCATCTCACCACCGAAATTCCACAAATCCACAACTGGCACAAAGCTGTTTTTTCTGTGTAACTGTGAGCTTCACGTAAGGATTCCCTTCTGGGAAGGAGCAGTTCACAGCAAGAACGGTAGCATCCAGTGCAGAGTTACTCAATCGCGTCTTCCCGTAGCTACAGTATGCTGCTAGTAATAGATTAGTGTAATCAGCCATCTTAAAATGAAGGTGCCCTCCTATTTGCACCAGAGGCACGAGGGAACCAGCCACACTGGTAACACAGGCACAAACCAGCTGCGTGCACTGATGCACACTGCTTGTGGGAGAAAAGCCAGAACTAGAAGAATCGGGGAACAGTGAAGTGAGAATGCTTGGGCCAATATAACTGACAGGTCAGAAAAATAAATAGCTGCCCAAATCCCTCGTTGGGGTTTTATTTTATTTTTGCGCTTTGGTGCAAGAACTACATCTACATAATTACATTTCGTCCACATTGCTAAGCAGGTACCTGCAGAACCAACCTGCCAGTCACTAATTCTCCTGTTTCCTTCTTAAGTTTCTCTCCAGACTACTATGACTGGAGCCATCAGAACAACAGCTTCATGGCTTACATAGGATCCCTCCAACAAGATCCAGCACTGGACACAGACCGGCCGAGCCCTATATAACTTCAATCAACTACAGCGTTCTGGGACATTCCAATATTAAAACAAACATTCTGAAAAACAAAGCTTAGCCATTTTTCTTCACCTTTTGGTTTTTAGAATGCACAGATCAATGAAGAACTTGTCTTGCCATGAGCTTTTTGTAGTTCAAGAAGTATAAGCTAATGATTTAAACTTTGAAGACTTCTAATTCATACCTTGTTCTAAGCCACTGTATTTTTGGCTTTGAAGAGAGTTATTAGAGGGTATAATTTAATCATTTTGTGCTCATTTTAAAAGAGCAAATTCCATGAAGTGAAACGGCATAATTATTTTCTAAGTATTTTTATTTTTACACTGTGTATTAGGTTAGAAATACATGATTATGATGAATATACTGTAAATAGATGAACAGTTGTTCAAATGCACGACAGTAACAATCCTTACATGCACAAAAGACTGTAAGGAAAAAACATCAACCTAATTAAATACTGTTTTTTCAAGTTATTGCTGCAATCTCTGAGCACAATTTACTCTGTGGCTCATCAGTGCTTACTCAATGTGGAAAGATGGTCAGAGGCTAAAAGTCATCTATAAGTTATGATCTCAAAACACACTGCATTCTTCTAAGAAGGCAAGAAAATTGTATCTTCTCAGGAGCTGTAGGGACAGTCACAGAATGGTAGAAAGGGTCATCTGCTCTGGCTGGAGCCTTGTGAACTGCAAAACAAGGTGAAAATTTGTAAGTAAGTCTGAAAAATTAAAGTTACATGATCATCTCTGTCAACCAGTTCTAGGTGTAGTACGTGGAAGAATAAGTCAAATACCCATCCAGGGAGATGGATACGTGTAACAGTACTTACTTATTTAATAAAAACCTAGGAAGTGCAGCTTGGGAATAGAACAAGAGCCAGGAACACATGAAGCAGAAAATCCTCAAGTGGACATAGAGGATGCATTCTGTATAACTAGCAGAAGGTCAGCAAAGCCATGCTTCAGCCTCGTGTGTTCAGGGATAAATTCAGTGGTTTGTGATGGAAACAGTAGATAAATACCATTCCAATATGTGACATTTGCACACAATTAATTAGTACTACTCTACAGTGAGCAGGAACTCTAACTCTACTTCAGGTCTTTTTATTGTGCCCATTGCTGACTGGTACGCTCTACTGTGAAGAACTCTGCACCCCCAGCATCTCTTTCTCCTTTCCCATGTGAAACAAATACTGTGATCAAAACCACACTTCCCTGGGAGAAACACGTATTTCTTAAGAGTAATCTTCTCTAAAAGTAGTTCATTTTGAGGCATGCTACAGCATCCCCAAAATGGTGGACAGGCTTGATGTTTTCCTCATATTCAAAATCAGGAAGGACAAGAAATAGAGAATTCTCACATATGTTTCACAGAGGGTCTACAGGAAAAAAAGAAGGTCTGCTTGGAAGCCAAAAGCACCGCAGTGCTATGCTAGCATGCCAAGTCTTCCCCAGGGTCTCTGATTTTTGGGGCTGTTGTGGTAAAATCAAAGTACGAGCCTCGCCTCTGGCAGAAGCACCCTGCCAACTGTTTGCCCTCCAGAGCTTCCATTAGCTTCTTCACTTTTTCCAGAATGTTCACTGAAGAAAAAAAAAAAGCCAATTAGACTATCAGCCAGAGATTAAAAAAAGGTGCCACAGGGTTAGGAGAAGAACAGAAATTTTATTAAACCCTTTGGAGTTCTACAGTCATGTTTGTACAAAACTGCCTGAAGACCTAGTGCAGGAAAAGTCTGCAGGAATTACATTTTCTTCACAGTCGATACAGCTGCACAGAAAAAATTTAATTATGAGAATTCTGTGCTTAGAACAAGCTTAACCCATATACCACAGTATGCATGCAAAAAGGTGGAATTACAAGTGACTATAGTCATAGTAATGAATGTATTTATCTCAAACATGGGAGATTTAAACAATGTGAAAGGTAAGATCTTATATTTAAACGAAGTCACTATAATTATCATCACCTGTGTAACAGGTACTTACCCATCTAAACTGAGGATGAAATGTGTGAATCAAATTTTTAGTAAGACTATTTGTTAAAAATACATACATGGGATGAAACACAAGGCTGTGGAAAACCCTTTAGGGGGAATAATTTTACACAAAGAGCCCCACTGGGCAAACCACCCTGAAAAAAAATATTTACAAAATTGATTTTATAAGCTATTCTGAAAAAGGGACAGAATGGACCCAACTTCATTTCAACAGAAGCCTTTTTGCCTCTTAAAGCAATTGGACTTAAACAGTGGCTAGATTTGGCCATATTCATACAGAAACATCCTGCAATTCTGCTACAAGAATTTCTGATGCACTGTGCTCCAGTGCACTGTGAACAGCAACAGGCACACAGGTTACATTCATCTTTTGAATGGAATTAAAGTGAGAATGAAAGCCTGCTCATCACCTTAAAGTTAAGTGACTGGTATGTAAGCAATTTAAGTTATATAACTTCTAGCAAGTGTAGTTGAAAGGTAAATGAAATGAAAAGTAAAACAAAAAATTTTCAAATGAAAACCCAAGAATTACATTCACAAAAGAAGCTGTAGCAGAAAATACTTTAATTCAGATTTTATAGATTCAAACATAGCAAAGATTCAGAAGTGTTTAGATCTCAGTAAGCAGTTCCAACATAGATTTTAATTTTAATAAATATTACATTTTAATAGGCTAGCTATATGGAGGAATTGTGAAGTGATGAATTGCTGATTGCTACTTTATAAACATAAGCAGCTAGATTATTTACAATATATTACAGGCCATTTCCCAGAAAAGCACAAAGCAAGCTCAGATAAAGGCAACCCAACCATCAAAATACAACTCCAGAAAGTGTGGCACAGTATGTTTCATGCACATACGACATCCAGCACAAATCATCAGCTGAAGTAGGAAAACACGTTTGTTATTCCAGCTTACACAAGTCTGTATTTTACTGCTTTAAATCTATATTCTCACCTCCCTCCTCAGGCACCAAAGAGCAAGTTGTTCAGCAACAGCGCCCTACACTTAATCTATGCAGTTTGCACCAAGTTTTTTTCACCAATTTACTTAACTCTTCATGACTTGGGAAAAAAGAAACATTTTTGTCTTCTTGCTACCTCTGGGATTACAATCATTGTGTCATTTGTACAAGGAAATGTACTTGTACTCTGAAATGAACAGCACACAATGGTGATAAGCTGATCTCCAACAGGGAGCTGGAATTTAAAACAGTTTATAGTGTCACTAACCTTATTCTTTAGTATAAAAATGGATCTGTAAATTTCTAAAATTTAATTTAACATATAAAGAACTAAGTCATCTGACTCACATGGCAAAACTTCATAGGCAGCGTAGTCACAGAATGTACATCAAATACAGTAAAAAAGACGATGATGGGAAAATTGTTTCAACTGGATTTGTAACAGGAAAAATCTTATGTCCTATTTCTACAATGACAGTGAAGTGAAATACTTTCTATATTTGATCACCAAGCAAGATGTACCTTCAAATGCAACAGACCTTCCCCATACACAATTTGCTGTTCAGTTGCAATCCTGTGTTTTCACAACAAAAGAAAAAAAAAGAAAAGCTTCCTATCACCTTATGTCCTTACCCAACAGTATTAACCTTGCCTGCATGGTGCCAATGAGGGTTGCAAGGAACAGGTGTCCAAGATCCCCATGCCTAAATCTCCCACCTGTCCCAGGAGCAAGTGTATGATGCTGGTATGTGATGCTGCTTCAGTGTCTGTAGATTTTAGCCAGGCACGGATGGAAAAAAAGAAAAATAGCAAGTTGCATCCCCAGAGAAAGGTTGGAAGCAATTAACTTTCCCCATAAAGCAAGAGGAAAAAGGGAAGAAACGATTCTGAAACTCAGATCCTTCCTGGGGCAGCACAAACAATTCATTTTCAACTAGAAAATCCTGCTTAAAGCTTTAGGCACTATAATATATATAATAACAATAATACAGATAAATCCCAGCTATACAAGAATTCTTCACACAAGTGAGCCTACAGGTTCTAGCCCTTGCGGGTCAATCCAAAAGGCAAGGAATTCACGGCCAACTGAAAACCACACACTTTCAGTATATACAATTACTCAGAAGAGTTAGATACTCAGGGTGTAACTCATTTACCAAACACAGATGTTCACATCTGAGCTAGTTACCCAGACTCCCACTTCAATTTAATGGAGAAAAACAAACTCTAGAGTGCAAATCACTGCAGCCCAGACCATATCGTACATAGCTTGGAATGCGCCAGATGAACCCAGAAATCACCTGCCCTTCTCTATTCACTAGAAAGGGGAAGCCTGGGGTGACTTGCTCAGACATGGGTGCCCACAGGCAAGAGAGGCTGCTGAGTAAGAACATAACATCCCCAGACTGGCATCAGCTTTCTCTAATGCCATGTTAAATTACCTACTGGCTTAAACAGGAACTTCTGATTGGATACCAGTTCACTGCCAATTTGTGCAGCTGTCACCAAGACTTTGTGGGGGTGGTTTGTTTGGGTTCTTCTTTCATTTAGCTTACCCCAGTTTGACTCAAGAGGGTTTACTTTCTTGAGAAACTGTGTATTTTATACTAGCAAGTGTCAGCAGGATAGTCTATCTCATTTCCAGTCAGGTAGAAATTTGAGGCTAGTCTGGAAACAAAGGACATAGAGTATATTCCAGCCTTCAGAAAAGTCTCAGCTGTGAAGGACCATATTATAGAAGCCAATACTGTTACAATTAGTTATATAAACAAGTCACTAAATATCTGGTAGGGTGAAAAAAATGTTTAAGAGCACTTTATTTCGTGATGACTTATTTTTAAAAACAAGAGATGTATCTACACTGTACCAGCACTTCCTACATTCATAACTCCTAACTTCACTTTGAAACATGCTGGTTTAAAAAAAAATTATTACTTCATTTTAAATTTAAACCACTATTTGGTTGCTACTAATCAGTAGTGCTGTTTCTGACTTGTTTTGCACAATGGTAAGTTATCATTGACATTTGTGGACAATGATACACGTGTAATTCCTTATTTTATGAAAGTTATGTTATTAACATACCCGTTTTTTCATGCTGAATATCCTTTCAAAGAAGATACAGGTAGGGATTGCATAGATAGAGTATGTGGTATTAAATGTCAGTGTGATTATGAATTTTAAAAAGCCTTTTTTTTAAATGTGACTATAAAAACAAGTTCTTACTTTTTGCCCTGACCTTTTAACATAGCACTAAACCATAACCCATAAAGAGCAAATCTATTTCCATGGCTCAAAGACTGAAGTGTGCTATTTTAACATTTCAGAAATTGTCTTTTTAATGTCTAGAAACTGAACTTGTGATTACAATCTAGAAAATAAAATGGGGTAGGTGTGAATTTGATTGACTGAGGCTTTCCAGCTAGCAGCACTCCACTAACCAGCTCCCCCTGCCCTGACTCCCACCCCCAAGCAAATGCAGGCAGCCAAGGGGCTGCAGAAAATTCAACCTTTCCAACTGTGCTACAGCAGAAACAAGGTAGTTATTTTAAAGAAAAAAGGAAAGTCTGAAAAGCAGCACATACGGAAAAAAATGTTGGTACAGCATGATGCAAAGGAGCTTGGTATGAAATAAAATTTTCTGCTCAGTAAATTTCCTATTTTTAAGTAAGTTTCATTATTACAGTAAGAAGTCAGAACTCAACAAGAGCCTTATTTCCTTTTCTGTTTGGTTTTTTTTTTTTTTTTCCTTTTTCTTTTTTCTTTTGGATAGCCAGAATCAGCATACCCAATCCTCAGAATATACTGAAGCTCAGTACTGGGGAGAGGCGAGAGGTGAACCACCTCTCTCAGGACAGGCCAAGTCAGGGTGGAGATATGTACGTTTTCATATAAAACCACTCTCTCAGAAGACAAGGAAATAAGAAAATTTATGAAGTTTCAGTACAACAGAACTGTGAGCACAGAACTTAAAAAATAAACAGATCGGCATAATTTACACATTTAAAAACTATATATTTAATTCATAAATATATTTTCTAATTAATAAACATTCCTAATTTAAACATAAATATTCAAGTTGGTATTTAATTTTACTTTTTATCAGTTCATGTGAGTCCTGTAAGGATCAGTTCCTTCTGCTCAATGCAGTCCTGTAAATGGTCTTCAGTAATGGGTTGTACAAAGGCCTTCATTACCTAGTTTGCTGTAATAAAACTTTAAAATTCTGCAATTCTCTTATACTTGTGGAAAGTCTGCAAAACAAAAACCCCATAAGTGTTAGTAAGTCAACTGCGAAAGAGAAGTGCAAATCATCATCCTCCATGGTGGCTTTTTGTTTGGGTTTTTTCTGAACACAATTCTGTTCCAAAGATGAACACACTTAAGATGCTACTTTCCCTCAAAAGATCTACAATC